TTATTGTTAATGTTGCATATATTTTTCTGTCCTTTTATTTTTAATCTATTTGTGCCTTTATTTTTGAAGAGAATTGATCCTCTGCAGGCAGTAAATAGTGGGTCCTACTTTAAAAAATCTAATGTGAAAATCACTTTATTTTAATTAGGGTGTTTAAACCATTTACATTTAATATGATTATTTATATGACTAGGTCTAAATCTATGATCTTGCTACTTACTAGCCTCATCTCTTCTTTGTTCCAGTGTACCTCGTTTTCTGTCTTCTTTCAGATTGATTTTTATGATTCTGATTTATCTCTTTTGTCAGTTTATTAGCTGTTACTCTTTGTTGTGTTATTTTACTGGTTGTTTTGAGATTTCTGGCATACATTATTAACTCATCATTATTTATCATGAGTGATAAGATATCACTTCACATATAGCATAAAATTCTTACAGTAATATATTTCTATGTCTCTCTTCCTGGTCTTTGTGCGATTTTTCTTACACATTTTACTTTCCATGTATGTTATAATCTGTCAAATATATTATTATATTTGCTTTGAACAGTTGACTATGTTTTAAGTACATTTAAATGTACTTTAAAAATATTTTCCCACATTGTTACTATTTCTCTTGCTTTTAATTTCTTTGTATATATCCAGGTTATCTGGTATCATTTTACTACTGTTGGAAGGACTTCTTTTTAACATTTCTTGTAGTGCGGATCTGTTGATAATGAATTCTTTCAGCTTTTGTATGACTGATAAAGTCTTTATTCTTCACTTTAAAAATTGTGGTAAAGTACACATAAGATCTGCCATCTTAACCATTTTTTAGTGTACAGTTCAGTGACATTGAGTACACTCACATTGTTGTGCAACCATCACTACTATACATCTCTAGAATGCTTTCCATCTAACAAAACTGAGAAAATATATGGAATGCATCACAAATTTGCATTCCATCCGTGTACACAGGCCATGCTAATCTCTGTATCGTTTCACTCTTAGTATCTGTGCTGCCAAAGTGAGTACTTAACTCCAGCCTGGGTGACAGAGCAAGACTGGCTCAAAAAATAGATAAATAAATTAAATGCTTAATTAATTAATTTATTTTAAAAGATATTTTTGCTAGGTAAAAATTCTAGAATGACTTTTTAATTATCGTTTTCGTTTAAAAAAATGCTTTAAATAGCCAGGCACGGTGGGGCATGCCTGTAATCCCAGCATTTTGGGAGGCCGAGTGGGGGTAGATCACCTGAGGTCAGGAGTCCTAGACCAGCTTGGCCAAAATGGTGAAACTCCGTCTCTACTAAAAATACGAAAATTAGCCAGGCATGGTGGCAGCCACCTATAATCCCAGCTACTCGGGAGAGTGAGGCAGGAGAATTACTTGAATCTGGGAGGCGGAGGTTGCAGTGAGCCAAGATCATGCCACTGCACTCCAGTCTTGGTGACGAGGGTGAAACTCTGTCTCAAAAAAAAAAAAAAAAAAAAAAAAAAGCTTTAAAGATGTATCTTAAGCTTGCATTATTTTTGATGAAAAATCTCCTGTCTTATTTATTTTTTGTTCTTTTGTACTTAATATTTCTTTTAAGGGGGCTGCTTTTAAGATATTTTCTTTATTGGTTTGTGCATCTTGGTTTGTGCTTGGGGTTCATCGAGTTTTTGGATCTGTGGGTCTGCAGTTTTCATCATATTTGGAATATATGTGACCATTATTTCTTCAAATATTCTTTCTGTCCCCTCTTCCACTGGTGTCTCCAATACATATCTATTAGGCCACTTGAAATTTCCCCATAGCTGCTGATTGATGCTCTGTTTATCTTTTATACAGTTTTTAATTTTTTTGTCTTATATTTGAGTGTGGCTTTATATATTCCATTTCTATCTCTCTATGTGTCATTTTTAATAGTTTCTGTTGTTGTGGCTTTAAGTTCATTAATCTATTTTCTTCAACGTCTTATCTGCTATTAATCCTACTCAGTCTATTTTTCGTCTTAGACATTGCAGCTTTCATCTCTAAAAGTTCAATATGGGTCTTTTAAATGTTTTCCATGCATCTACTTCACATATTCAGTTTTTCTTCTAGCTTCCTGAATGTACAGAGTATACTTATAATAACTTTAATTTCTTTGTGTACTAATTCTATCATATGTCTTTTCTGGTTAGTTTCAAATGATTACTTTTTCTTATTATGAATCACATTTTCCTGTCATTTTCATGCCTGGTAATTTTTTATTGGATGCCAGATATTGTGACTTTTACTTCATTGGGTACTGGGTATTTTGCCTTTCTATAAATATGCTTGAGCTTGTTTTGGGACATGGTTAAATTACCTGGAAGCAGTTTGAACTTTTCATGTTTTGCACTTAAGCTTTGCAAGGCAGGCCTCCAGCATCATTTGGTCTAGGGCTAATTCTTTTTCCTTTACTGAGGCAGAACTCTTCTGTGTATTCTACCAGATGTCTCATGAATTATGAGTTTTTTTCACTCAGGTTGTAAAGATCAGGCACTATTCTTAGCCTTGTGTAAGCTCTGGAAATTTTTCTCTTCTGGCCTCATGTACTTTTCTCATGTACATAATACACTTTTCAACACTTCATTGAATATTCAACGGGGACCTTTTACAGATATTTGGAGTTCTCTCTCTGCTCTTTGGTGCCTTACCCTAAAAACTGTAGCCACTTGGCCTCTGTGGACATCCAGGTCCTTCTTATCAACTCAGGGAGAACTTCAGGCTCCATCTGAGTTATCTCTTTCTGTATGGTGGTCTTAAAGCTTTCTCAGAGAGAACTCTTGGGGCAGCCTTAGGGCTCACTTCATTTGTTTCCCATTTTGCAGGGATCACTGTCCTTTGTTGCCTGGTATCCAATGTCTTGTCTACCATTGTTTTAAATAATTTGCCCAGAGTTTTAGCAAGAGAGTAAATCCAGTCCCTATCACTATTTTGGTAGAAGTTGCCCCAAATATTTAATTTAATTTTATTTTGCTATTGTATATGCGTTTGTCTTTTTTCACTGTATATTCTAACTGGTTTTTCTTTGTATATATGAAGGTTATTGATTTCTGTTTGTTGATTTTATAACTTGCTATGTTACTTAAATTATCTTGTTTTTTATAGTAGTTTAATGTTGATTCTATTAAGTTTTCCAGATATCATATCATCTACAAAGAGAGATAGTTTTCCCACTTCCTTTGCAATTAATATGCTTTTTGTTGCTCTCTCCTTTTAAAAGCATTGACAAATACTTCAACGTAATGTTAAATACTGTTAGAAATGATGGGCATGAGTTTGAAGACTATTTAAGTATTCTACTGATTCTATCTTTTGGAGATGTCCCTAGTAATGTCGCAAGTCCTTCTGTTCTGGAATGGCCCAGTGGCCATTTCTATGCCTCCTGCACAGCTGTTATCTTAGGGTTTCCAATCCCCTATTCCTAGTTCTCATTCTTACCTTTTTTGTTTGTTTGTTCGTTTGACTCCTATTTTGGTAAAGCACAAGGGGATATAAAAAGCAATTCTTGATGATCTTGCAAACTCCATAGATTGGCTGGGTAAATGATTTTAGCTTGGAAATAATTTTCCCTAAGAATTTTGAAGGCACTATTCCTTGTGTTCTAGGGTCTAATATTGTCCTTAGGCATCTCATGCTGATGTCACTCACAGTGCTTTGTCCATAATTTGCTTTTTAGTTTCAATTCTTTAAAATTGTATGACATTCTCTTTGTCCCCAGAGACTACCTACCATTCTCTTTGTTTCTCCATGGCTGTAAGGTGCTAAAATTTGAAAGTCCCCTAAATTATCGTGATGTATGTTTCTGTTTCTATGGTTCTGTTACAGTAAATTATCACACTTATTTTTTTAAAGAATCATAATCATTAATTCACCAATACAAGTATGTCTGAACTAACTGTTGGGCTTCCCAGGCTTTCCTTTAATGAGTGCTGTTTAGAGTATCGCAGGGTTTGTCTTCGGCCATGACTGAATCAGCCAGGATCAAACCCAAGAATATACAGAACTTATAGAAATACAGAACAAAATTTAAGAAATGTAGGAATTACATATTCTGTATCAATAATCTACATGTGATTGTTATAACTTTCTGCCTCAATAAATTTATCATTCATATCTTATGGCAATCTATGGTTCCATGCTTTTAAGATTATGTTTTTAAGTTTAATTGGTTGTAGTATCCTGAGTACTGATGATATATAATAATATAATTATTATTATTATACAGCAGACACTCTTCTAAGTGCTTTCCATTTATAAGCCCATTCATATTTATAATTCTTATAACAAATCTATGAAGTGGATACTATTGTTATCCCTACCTTAAACACAAGGACATTGAGGCACAGAGAATTTAACATTAAGAATCTTAATTAAGAATTAAGGTCACATAGGCTGGGCATGGTGGCTCATAGGCCTGTAATCCCAGCACTTTGGGAGGCTGAGGTGGGAGGATCACTTGAGGTCCTGAGTTCCAGATCAGGCTGGCCGACATGGTGGAACCTCGTCTCTACTAAGAAAAATCCAAAAAAATTAGCCGGGCATGATGGCCTATAATCTCAGATACTCAAGAGGTTGAGGCACAAGAATCGCTTGAACCTGCGAGGCAGAGGTTGCAGTGAGCTAGGATCACGCCACTGCACTCCAGCCTGGGCAGCACAGAGAGACCTTGTAAAAAAAGAAAAATAGAATTAAGGTCACATAGCATGTAAATGGCAGAGCAAGAAGTTGATCCCACGCCATCTGGCCCTGTAGTCTACTTTACCCACTGTGCTTTGTGGGCCTTTGGAAGCTGTAAGATTCTAAAGAGTTAGGAGTCTACTGATAGATGGCCCTGGGGTTACATTTCACCCTGCTTCTTCACTGTGACCTCTCACTATCCCCATCTTCTATTCATAATCTTGGCACAGGGGCTAACAAAGGGGGAGCCTTGGGCTGGGCTCCCAGGGATTGTAATTTGTTTTAGGACAATGCGCTGGATTTCTAGGGATCTGTACTCACCACGCACAAACATCTGGGTGCCTGGTCCAGACTTAATCTCCACGTTAAGCTCCCTTTCTGGAATTTCACACGGTAGTAGGTGCCGGCTCTGCTGGCATGATGCTGCAGATATGGATGGAATAGTTCATCTTGTTTCTCTTTGTGATGTCTGAAACAGTTCTTATCCAGGGAAAGTTGCCTTCCTTTTGGCTGTAGATTAATTCCTGGCCTGGTCCAGTTCCTCTGAACCGCTGGATGGGCCCTACAGGCAATAGGGAGGTCACAGTGCAATGACCAGTCTCCAACTGTGACACAGTCTCCAGCTGTGACTGACACGGACTTCTCAGGCTGAATCCCCTGCAGCTCCTCCTCGCCTGCCACTCCTAGAAGAACACAGGTCGGCTCCAAGCTCCAGCTGGGGCTGAGGCCGCGGTCCAGGTGCCTGGATTCAGATTGCATTTGAAGCCCCATTAATTCTTTCTTTCCATATCATGTATTAGCTTTTAGGATGGTCACGTTTCTTAACTGGGTATCAAGAGAAACATAGAGACAAGACAGACAGACAGCCCTTGCTAAGGACACAGTCAGGAAGTCACAAGAGAAGACATACATCTAGAAAAGATGTTCAACAACCCCGGTAATCCCGTGAAGTGCATAGTTAAACCACAAACAAATTGCTAACCTCCATGACAGACTAGCTGGAAAAGTTTTTCAAAAGATGTATACAAGTTTCAGCACATGAAAGTTAGAGCACATTTTCAGGCTGCAATAAATACTAGAGGCAGGTTGGTACCAAGGCAGGCAGAGAGGTCGATGAAACAGAAGAGAGAACCTAGAACTGGACCCAAGTAAATAGACAGATATACTGTACGATCAAGCTGGCATTTTATGTCAGTGGAAGAAAGCTCTCTTGAAGAAGGCAAATGAAACTCCTAAAAAGTAGCTGTCTCCAGGGAGCCAGATGAGTATGGGGCTTTTCTTGTTTACTTGTACGTTTCTTCCCTGTTTGGATTATTTTGACAGCAAGCCTGAAATACAATAAAAATAAAATAAAATAAAATAAAACATTTCTCCCTCCTGCAAACTAAGAGCAGCCACAATTTTTAGAATATTAGCTTAGCAAACATGAAAAAGATTGCCAATTTTCTGTGTTGCTAAGGGTGTGGTGAGGCAGGCACTCCCACACACTGCTGATGGGAATAAAAATTAACACAATCTCTCCAGATGGCAATACAGCATTATAGTCATGATCTTATGGTCTATGTACCTGTGACAAACCCATATTTAAACAAGTAAAGTGGGGAGATACTTTCACCAAATCTGTTTTGGTCACAGATGTTCAAAATACCCCCTGTCCATTGCTGCTGCTTCTGTGCTGTGTGGTGAGATAACGTATTACTGATATTGAGACACTCACGTTTTATTGGGAAATGGTTTTTGAAACCAAAAAACACTTTTGAAATGCAATTTCCCAATAAAACTCACACTCTTTGACTTAGTAATTCCTCTTCTAGGGCCTTATTCAAAAGAAACAATCAGACAGGGGTGAATATGCTTTGTAAAGGAATGGCAATCATAGTATTTACAATCTGGAAAAGTTTGATATAAGGCCCATGTCCAAGAATAGGAGTGAGTTAGAAAAATGATGGTACAACCACAAAATGGAAAACTATGTAATGACTGAACTGATAATGTTGATGTATATATTGGGGATGTATTGATGATGCTGCAGACACATATATATTTACATGGAAAAGGATCCCCCAATATATCACTGAGTAAAAGAACGAATAAATCACCATATTTTGTGTAATCCTATTTTTGTTAAAAGTTCGGTGTATATAGAAGCAGCACAGTGAAGAGGTCAAAGTAAGAGCTAGTGGAATCCCATTGACCCAGGTTTTAATACCTCCTCTATTGCTTGATTGCTATAGTTTAAATATTTGTCCCCTCCAAAATTCTTGTAGAAATTCAATCCTCAATATGCAATATTGAGAGGTAGGGTCTTCAAGAGGTGATTGGGTCATAAGAACTCTGCATTATTTCATAAATTAATGGATTCATGGGTTATCATGGGAGGGGAACTGTTGGTTTCACAAGAAGAGAGAGAGAGACCCAAGTACAGTATGCTAGCATGCTCAGTGCCCTCACCATGAGATACCCTGTGCTGCCTCAGGACTCTTTAGAGAGTCCCCACTAGAAAGAGGGCTCTCGCCAAATGTGGCCCCTTGACCTTGAACATTTCAGCCTTTATAACTATAAGAAATAAGTTCTTTTTCTTTATGCATTATCCAGTTTCATGTATTCTATTCTAAGCAACAGAAAATGGACTGACATTGATGAAAATAACCTCCCTGAGGCTCTGATTTCTTATCTATGTAATGTATACAACATGGAAAGTAAAACTTCTCATGCAATTTTGTTGTGAGACTGAAACCTGAAAATCTTTGAGAAACCCTCAGGACTGTGCTCATAGAAGGACTTCTGTGAAATGCACTTTCCATTTTTAACCACAAGTCCAGTAGGCTAGGTTCCAGCCCTGACAACCTGGTGATTCTAGGAAGCCCACACCCTTCTTTGGCTTTTAGTTCCTTTTTCTACCAAGCCTGATGGACTATTCTCATTTCCCATGACTTTTGTGAGTTCTAAGTGAAGACATAGACTTGCCAAAGACACAGAATGAGTGGTGCAATGGCCTGATGCAGCAGGACGATTTTCATGTGCTCATATTCACACTTCCTAAGCCCTAAAAGGCTGTAACAGCCAGAGTTCACGTAGGTGGTTCTGTGTGCTACACTCCAGAACTACACTGTGTGTTACTCCAAACACTTAACTATATTAATTAACTAGTTTGATTCTCACTACAACTTTATTGGAAAGGCATTATTATTTATCCTGATTTCACAGACAAGAAAAGAGTCACAGAGAAGTTGAGTAACTTATCCATAGTCAAACAGCCTACAAATGATGAAACTTGGATTTGAACCCCGGCCTGTTGGCTTTTTTTTTTTTAGATGCCTGTGCTTTTCACCACTTTATTAGGTGGAGTCTAAACTGAGATGTTAACACCACTGGGAGAAGGATGGGCGCCCCTCCTGACTGTCCAGATCAGCTTTGGAGAGAAGGGAGTAGACAGGCAGGAGAAACGCCCACATCAAGAACATAATCCTAGGTTACTGAGATTCTGGGAGACTTACTAGTCTAAAAAGGACGATTTAGCATTTTTTTCTAATAGTTCCACATTGTATGTGTAGTACTTGTTATCTATCTATCTATCTATCTATCTATCTATCTATCTATCTAGTCTATTAATCACCTATCCATCTATGTGTATTCATCTTAATGACAGCATCCCTGCCTCCCTCCTAGGGACGGAGGAGTCAAACGCTGCTCCTCTACTTCTTCCCTCAGGTTGGCATCAGGTTCTGTAGGTCAGGCCTATGGGGTCGTGGAACCTTCACAGGGTGTCAGGGGTGTAGGAAGTGAGAGGGACTGGGCACCCCTGTCACGGGGAAATGCCTGGATAGGAGAGAAAGCAACCCCTCCAAGCGATAAGAATTCTGGAGGGATTTGTTTTGGAGACACATGTTATAAAACAAACTGTTTAGGGAAGTGTCTTAAAGAGGAGGGGACAGCAAAGAAAGAGGCCCTAGAATAACAGAGACTCATCTGCCCCACTGCAGGTGGCCAAATGGTACGGCCGCCAAACTCAGGAGAGCATCCCTGCACCATGGTACCTGAGGGTGGGGACACTCCCCTGTGAGTCCCAGCAGCCAGAGGCAGCAGCAGGGATGGATGAAATCGTTTCTGTTGTTTCTCTCAGGCAGGGCCGAGAGGCAGGGACGGGCATCGTGGTGGACCCTGGAGCCTGCTCTGCCTGTAGGTCTGTTTTGGGGAGGTCCTGGATTCTGCTCTGCTGAGAGAAGCAGAACTATATCTTCCATGATGTAAGAGGAAGTTACTATGATGGGAGGAAAGGGCTGTGGGATTATGACAGTTCCAGTTTCTAGATTATGAGATAGGAATCAGACAAAAGCTAAGAAGTTACTGATATAAGGGTCCCAAGGTGCTTGGAGGGGGCCTGACAGACACCCTTAGTACCGAGACTCTGCCCTTTGGGCCCCTCACTTTGTGTCAGGTGTGCTGGTGACCCTTCCTCATCCAGGAGCCCAGGAACATGGTCTGTCATAGAGAAAGGTGTGTCCAGCCTCCTGTGATGGTCCAAAACCTGGGCTCAGATGAGCTGTGCAGCTAGTCAGGAGGAGGTCTCCTGGGAATGGGGCTTCACAGGTGTGGGTCCCTGTTTTTCCCCACTCCAGAGGTGTCAGTTGTGAAAATGAGCCTGAAGCCACGTCTGATGGGAGGCTTTGGCTCTTCAAAGTACACTTACAGGGGAAGTGGCTTTGAGTGAGCAAGGAGTTAGATCTTGGGAGGAGGAGAATAGCTTCTGTTTTAGAGGAAAGGGGAAGAAACCTGTGTGTGTTAAGCGGGAGGTGCAGGGCCTTACGGTGCTCATACTGTAGGAACAGTGACATGCAGAAACACAGCTGGGAGGAGGAGGGGTATCTCTTTTGTCTGTCCCTAGTCTGGGGCCATCTCTTGGGAGAAGGGAGTGGAGGAGCTGTAGAAATGCTCACACCAAGAATGCATCTCCTCTCCTCCTTCTGAGCAGCAGCCACCTGCACATGAAATCACATCCAGAGCCTCTAGCCATGAGCCCATCACTTCTGTGGGCCCAGTGCCAGACACTGCCTCCTGTGACTTAGTTTCCCCACTGCTCCCGACCCCTGCCTCCTTGCCAGTGGCTGACCGGATGTTGGTGATGTGAAGCGGTGGAATGAAAGGGTCCAACCAGCGATGGGATTTGATTACTCTGTAGCATGATGAGTGTCCCTCTCCCCTCGACACCTTATTCTAGCTTGTTAAACATTTTTTCTGAGAGGGATTTCTTGACAAGGAACTGGTCAGAGTGTTCCATTTAGCACTCATTGTTCTAACTCTAATCTCTGTCTTCCTGATGACAGATTCTATTCTCCAGAGCTGATTTCAACAAGGTCCCTCTTCCCTCATGCTCTTTGACACTCCTCCCATGGAGATGTAGGCATATGTTACCTCCCGCTGAGTCTGGGCAGGCCTGTGACTGTAACAGAAGCTATGTGATGTGACTTCTGAGGCTAGACCATAACAATTCCCTGTACTTCTACCTGGCTCTCTTGGGATGCTCATTTTTGGAACCTTGCCACCATGCTATGAGGAAGCACAAACTAGCACGCATGAAGAGATCACATTGCAGGGACACATGTAAGAGTTCTAGCTGACATCCCAGCTAAGATGCAGCCAATATCCATTATCAATCATCAGCCATGTAAAAGAAGAAGCTTCCAGATGACCCAGCAGTTGAATCATCCCCAGGTGAGTTTCCTAACTGAGACCCCAGGCAACATATAGCAGAGACAAGTCATTCTCGTATCCTGTCTGAATTCCTTACCCATAGTGTCATTGATCATAATAAAATGCCTGTTTTTTTGACCTTGTGTTTTGGGGTGTTTTGCCATGCAGCAATAGTAACTAGACAGCACCCTTGGCAACATTTTCCTTACCACCACTCATTAGCTTCTGCCTCCTTCACTGGACTTGCTGTTCCTTGTTGGCAGGAACCACTGAATACGGGGATTAAAAGGCAGGTTTTGGGGCCAGAAGGAACAGTGGGTCAGAATCTTGGACTTAGGTGGTATTTGCATGGAAGTGGGCAAGCCATTCACATGCCTATGCCCTGCTGTCTGCTAAGCAACTACAGAGCATAGTCATCACTCACATACCATCAGCTCTTTTTTCTGTGTCCTCATCTCAGTGTATGTCATACATTGAGATGGGATTTGATTGTTAAACCAGAAAACCTTGGTGTCATTTTTGATTTTGATAACTCCTCCCATTCCCCATATCCTTTAATCTAAATATATCTTTAGTCTGTTCGGACCACTATAAGAGAATACCATAGACTGGGTGGCTTCTAAGCAACATGAATTTATTTCTCATGTATCTGAAGCCTGGCAGGTCTAAGACCCAGAAGCCGGCAGATTTGGTGTTTGGTGAGGGCCCACTTCCAGGTTCATAGACAGCTTCTCACTGTGTTCTCACATGGTGGAAGGGGCAAGAGAGCTCTCTGGGGCCTCTTTTACAAGGACACTAATCCCATTCATGACTCTACCCTGATGACTGAATCACCTCCCAACAACAGCCTCCCTCCTAACACTGTCATATTGGGCATTAGGATTTAACATATGAATTTGGAGGGGACAAAAACCTTCAGTGCATAGCGATCTTAAATCCTCCTGCATCTTTCTCTCCACTGTCATCTCTGGCTTGGACAGGCTACCATTTTGCCTCCCTTACTCTTTCTCTATTTCAGTCTTTTCCTTATGCTGTAGTCAGAGTGATACTTTTAGAAATTTAGAGAAATCTGACCATGCTTCTCTCTGGTAGTGGCTTCCCACTGTTCTTAGGGAAAATGAAAGATTTTCTCTTGTTCCTGACTGATCTGGCTCCAAATGCTTTGCCAGCCTCAGCTGCTAGCCCTTTCACTCCCAAGATGCTGCTCTTTCTTCCCTGAACTTCAGATGACCACTCCCTTCTCCTCCTTTTTGTAGATAAACTGAGAGTGCCCTTAGTACCTTGTAAGAATTGTAATCAGATGTTTATGTTGGAAGTCTTCCTTACTTGCTAGAGCACACACCTCAGTGAGAACAGAGGTTGGCTCAACTCTCTTTCCCACTGGGAATGCTCAACAGGTGTTTTGTACCCAGGAGGAAATAGCCAGTGGATTCATGGTAAGTGTTCACAGTGACCCCAGGTGTTTGGTCTCTGATCTAGCTCTCCCCAGAGGCATTACTGCCACAGGATCCCTATCTGTTCAGGGATCCCACAGTTGCCCTTTCTTTTTTCCCCTTTTTGGGGCTCCCCCATCCCTGGAAACCCTGGGAGCCTGACACTGATTAACTAAACCATAGTAGTAGCCTCACAGCTACCTCATCCTTGATCTCCACTTGGTCAGGACTGGGTTCTACCCTTAATTTTGGATGCTCCCTTGGATAGATGTTGCTGGAGGACAAAGAGTTGATATCTAGCCTTGTGAGATGAGACATTGCCTCCTCCTTGGGTCCTAATTCCCTCTCTTTTCCTGAAGACATCTTCTGCAAATGCTTGATCAAGTCCCTCTTCCCCCATCACCACATCTGAGATGGAGCTTCTTAATGTATTCCAGGAAATTCCTGGGGAAGTAAGAGTGATGTGCTCCTCTCTTGCTGCCAGATGAACCTGGGCACCATGTGTCCTTGTGGGCTCTTCTTGGAATGACTTCTTCCCTAATGTTAGCCTGATCCCAGACCAGGCTGTGGCCACAACCTTGTCCTGCCTCCCTGGACCTCCCCTCAATTTAGTTAGGCCATCTACTTCCTGTAGAATGGAGGGTGAAGACTCCATCACCAGCAGCACCTTGTGGCCTAGGAGGAGAGTCACAAAAGGAAGGGTGGGCAACAAGTATCATCAGAGGGCACAAGGGGGTCCATCCTCCAGGACTTTCACTTTCCCATCTGAGGCTCCCAGGGTCCATCTTAGACAACGGTTCCCATTGCACTATGCCTTGCCAGCACAAATACCTGAGACAGGAGCCCAGGTGAGAACACACGCATCTCACACTGCTGGGCTAGGCCTTGTCTAGGAAAAAGGAGGCAGCTCCAACCATTTAACTACCTTGTATTACCTTGTTAGCACTCAGCATAGTCCTATGAGATGGGTATTATGATTTCTATGTTGCTGAGAAAATCAAGGCTCAGAGATTTTAGAAACTTTCCAGGATCACAAGGTAGTGAGAATCAAACTCATGTTTGTCAAACACTGTGCTCATCCTTGTTGCCCCTCTGAATCAAGAAAGGGCAGGAGATCCAGACACCCGGGACACCCAGAGCCTGGAGCCTGGGAGAACACCACCACATCAGGGCACAGAAGGATATGTCTACACTGACAGTAAGTGGAACATAGATGTGTTCCTATTGAGAGAATTTCAAGGCTGCTCTGCTCAGCACCAGGAAGGACCTGGGTTTAATCAGAAAATGATAAAAACAGTAAAAAATCTCCTGGCAAGAAACCATTAAGATCATTCAAGGAAACACAGACTCCCTGTCTTGGCAGGAGTTTCAGACATTATCTAGTCCTCTTATGACCTTGTACCTTAAAATCCTAGTACCTGAAATCCTGTTTGAGACCTTAAAAGAAAGGGCAACAAATAATATATAAGAGATCTCTCTAGGGAGTTGGATTGGGTGTACTTGATTCCTAATAGAGATTTAGTTTTTGATAAATACCTATACGATTTTGGGTTGTGTGTATGTGTGTGCATGCACTTCTGTGTGTGAGGGAGAAGGAAAGAGTGAGAGTGTGTGAGTCAGCAAGAGAATGAGAAAGAGAGTGGGCTTTGCTTTTATAATTTAAACTTTTATAAATCTGAAAAAGAACGTTTTATGGAAAGATAAAGGAGCCTCCTTAAATAAATCATGGAGGCCTTGCTATTGGCTACAACTGAGACCTATCCAGGTGAGCAGAGGCCCAAAATGTCATTTTTACAGTGATCTTCTGCCATCCGTCTTGTTCCACCTGGCAGGTGAGCATAGTGTCCTCCTCATGGTCACTGTTTTCCACCAGGATGGAGCTCTGCATGCTGTACAGTCCGTCTTTGCCCTTGATGGGGGTCAGGGTCTCATCTCTCTGGGAGACACTTCCATCTTTCAGCCAGGTCAGTTGCATGTCCTGGGGATAGAACTTCTCTGCCTGGCAGGTGACATTCATCTTGTTATTTGAGGCAGGGTGCTGAAGAATGGACACCTTGGGTGGAACTGAAATAGCATAGAACACATGCTCAGACGTCATGAAACAATCAGATCCATCTGCTTATTGCTTGGTGGCCATTTACTTAGCACCTACTTAGCATGTCGCTGTGCCTAGCACATAGTAGATGTTCGGTAGTTGGAATGACCTGTTATTATTTAAGCCTATTCCCTGGAGCATTTTTGGGAAGAACTATGCTCCAAAGACACGTGAAAGCCGGGT